GATGTTCCACCCCAAATCCATTTACTCAGCAGCCAATGCCAGCATGAGGGTGACAAGAAGCTAAAGGAACAAAGGCAGAGGAGCTGGTGAAGCCTCATCCCTAGAAGTGTTCAAAGCCAGATTGGACAGGGCTTGGAGCAACCTGGTCTAGTGGAAGGTGTCCCTGCTCATGGCAGGGGGTTTGGAACAAGACAGTCTTTAAGGTCCCTTCCAACTCAACCCGTTGTGTGATTGTGTGAAGTACAAATTCGACCCCGGGTCACCACAGCCCTGGCCAGGGTGAGAAAGGGGATGGAAGAGGAGAGCACAAGGACTCTGGTTCTGGCCCTGTGGAATGTACTGGGAGCAGCAAGGAAGGGAAGGTGGCATTGAGGACCTGCCCCTGCACAGTAGGCCACATCCTTCTTCTACAGGCACAGGAGTTAAATCCTATAAAACCTCGAGCTGGCTGTGTTTTGACCCTCAGCTCAAAAAGAATCCATTCTCAGCTCCGACCACCGTGGATCCTGGTCTGCAATGCACAGATCTCTTGGCTGACAGGGTGCTGGTTAGCACAACATCACCATCCCTGCAGCCAAACCCCTGCTGGGACCTCTCTCTGCGGGATTTTTGGGGCACTGACACATCCCACGTGCAGTGCTAAGCAGTTCTGGGTTTCTCCCACAGTTAAAGTAAATTGTAAAGTCTTCAGTGAGGTTAAATTCTTCAGTTAAATTCTTCAGTGACTTTATATCTTCTCCAGATGCAAAGTATCTCTTCATTCGGGCATTTTCAGGCATTTTGAATGAAGTAGTAAGGTCACAGCTTCACTCTGTGGTGTCTTACTACAATATTGTTAAAAGTTTCAGCCTAAGTCAAATGTGTCCTGGACTGCAACCCTGCCCAGGGAAAGCAGCCGGAGCCAATACCCTTTTCTGTTCCAAGGGGATGTTTTCCTGTAGCATCTGTAGCTGAAGTTCAGCTGACAGCCCAAGTCAGCTCTGCACTCGGGTAAACAACTGTGACAGGTATTTTCAAACAACAAATTCAGCTGTAAGGCTTATTACGATTATGCAGAACAGAGAGTACAAATTATCCTGTCCTGCACATCAATATACCTTTCCTGACCCTCTGTTTCTTCTTCTTCTTCTTCTTCTTTTAATTAATCACCTTTACTTTCTGTTCCCCCCTCACCCATCTATGCAACAATGCTACAAATGAGAGAACTTTTTAATCTTGTAAAAAGAAAGTTAACATTCATAATTTTTATTTAGCTCTGTTATGAGGCTCATTGTTGAACTGGCATTGGGGGTTGTACAGCTCAACCCTAATTCCATCTGAACTCCTGGTGTTATTATGTGTAACAAGCACTTTTACAGGACTCCAGCAAAGGGAAAATTATACAGAAGATGAGCATCACAAAATTTATAGTTCAAACCCCCTTTTCCTTTTGCAAAACAAGACGTGAAAAATATTGCCACAATATCTTTTAGATAGGTATTCAGCTTTGGCATGAAGTTGTGGGGAACAGGCTTCTAAACTGCAACTCTGTACAGTGGAAAAAATTTTAATTCTTCCATCTTTAAAATCCTGAAACCATCATGCAGTCTCTGCATGCATATCTCTGTGTTTAAATGGTTAAGGTTACAAAACCTCAGCTCTTTCTTTTCCAGTTCCCTCCACCTCTGGCAGATAAAACAGGGAGATAAGAAAGTTGTGGTGTTCTTTTGACCTTCTGCCAAAGGTAAGGACCACCTGTCGATCTGAATTTCCCTTGCAAATCTGCTGGAGCTGCACTACTGAAACTGCACTGCTGGTGCCTGCTTTATCTCTGATTAGCCATCATTTGGGATGACTGTTCAACTGATGGAGCAAATGACTGCACTGGGCTGGCATTTCCTACCTCCCCATCTCACTACTGTTTAGAATAATATCTCAATGCAGCTGAAATGCAGGTTTTTTTCTCCTCCCTCATCCAATCTCAGAAGAATAAGAAAGAAACTTTATACAAAGATTTATTTTATCTTATTGGAGAAGGATATAGTATATTGTGATGAACAATGCTAGGATTAAGTTCATCTCAAAGAAGTGTTTGTGCCTCAGGATACACCAACAATGCTCAGAAAGGATGTTTCTCTCCAAAAGGCACAATGCTGCCCGAGAATATAGTTTTAGTCTGGTGGCAGGATTTCTCAGGGGTTTCCTGAATAGCTGCCAAATGCAGCCCTAATGTTCTGCTGTCTGTATTAAATATCAGCTGGCATTCCCCAGTTTTCCCTGGGGATGGCTGGGCTGCGTTTCCTGTGGCAGACACAGCAATCCACGAGTCCTGTCTGCCCCTCTTTGCTCCCTGAGATCCCGTCACTGGGGTCAGGTTACTGCAGTGATTACAGGTATAACTTGTCAGCTCCTCTCTCCTTCTCTTTATTTCCTTCTTTCATTAGAATATAACAATTTAAAATGGATCTGATCTTTTGTTTACTGTGGTGTCCAACCCTTGCTGTGTGAGAGTGCTTAGGCAGGTCTGGCTATTCTGCTGCTCTCAGTAAGGTCAGCTTTACCCTTCTGCCAGAAACTTCATTCCCTCTTCATCCTTATCCCAGAAAACAAGCACTGGGAAAGCAGGTTGAAAGTCTGGGGTGCTTCAGATTAATTATCTGGTCCTATTTGGTTGGTACAGGCAAGTTGGCCAGCGTGGGAAGGTGTGCAAAAAGCTGTCATGAGCTGCCCTTTTGTTCTGCTCCAAAATGAACAATTTAGCCCTGCCTTGAACTCAGTGAAGATGATTCACAGCAGAACTTCCAAGAGCTGTATAAAATTAAAATACAATCTTAAACAGAAAGACATCAGAAAGCAGAGTGGGATCTGGCAAAATAAACCTGTATTTATCTGCCTGTGCTCATTTAAGCAGTAAAGCAGCAAATAGCAGGAATGCATCCCTCCTATTTCTTTTTTTTCCCAGGGGATGAAATAAGACTCGAAATGTGCAGGATTTTGTTGCACATTTTAGCTTTGTTGAGTGAACTCAGACCAGGATGATTCTTTTGAGCTATCTGTCCCTGGTCTCTCTTATTTGTGTGCACACAGCACCCGTCAGCCCAGAGAAGTGAACAGGTCCCTGTTGGGCTACAAATTAAAAAATTTAAAAGTGCTTCATTTCTCCTTGGTTTAAAAGTCATCTTCAAACTGTGAGAACGAATTACATGTGCCAAAAAGAGACCAAAAGAGCCAGAGCAGCTATTCCTCCTCCCACACACGCTGTTTCCCAGGTAGTTCAAGGCACTTGGATCAATATTTTGTGCTGAGAACTTTGGGAACAGCTGGCAAGGACTGATCCAAGGGGTCAAAAGCCCAGATACCACATTACTCCCATTTCCTCCTTGTACAGATGGGATATTCACCCACCATCATGCAGATCTATGGGCAAGAATGCTAAAAATAAATCAGATATTATTTAATAAAATTTAATAAAATTTAATAAATTTGGCTTCTACCTGTGCTGGTGTTTAATAGACATATTAATTTAGCAAAGGTTTGTCCTGCGGATTTTCATCAATTATTAGAAATATTCTCGTCATATAAAAATATGCAGATTATTTTGTTGGCCATATTTATGGTATTCAAATCTTTTCCTCTAGACTTTCATTCATTGGATTAAAATAAAATATTTTCTTTTTAAAACATGATATATCACACAAATTAACTATGGGGAATGCTTTTGGGGGGGGGGGGAAGCATTTCTGATGCTTTGAAATCACATGAACTGCATTTTGGTTAGTATGGCCTTGCCAGTCACCTTTTCTTCCAACTGTTTTATCAACAAAGTGAATCTGTTCAAACCACAAGTCCCTCAAGTTCAAACTAAAAATCTGTCAGATTTTTAACTCCCAATGACTGCAAATACACATTTGACTGAGAAGCCAATGAGCAACATCCTCTTTCAAAAAATGTCCTTGTACACTTAAAAAAAAGAAAGAAGAGTAGTTTACAGATTTCTGATTAATTAATTAAATAGGAGCTGGGAGCAATTTAAATAGAATCTCCATGGAAACTTGTGTTTCACGAGATAAGCCTTCGAAAGAAAAGAGCAACGACAGCTTAAGAAGAGAAAATGATCTTAACAGATATAACCTCCTGTAAAAATTCTGCAAGACAAAATGAATGAAACATTCCACTCAGAAAGCTGAAGGAAGCAGTTATTCTCCGTAAATATTTTGCCAGAACTGAAATATTTTTTAAAATAGGCTGAACCAGCAGTTTGTACATACGGTGGGGAAGAAAACCCCAAAACAACCTGCAACAGCCAGGTGAAAGCTGATTTTCTGAGGCGGTGAGAGGCCTTTAGTACACCACTCTGATTCCAGAAAGTCTCCTCTCAGAGCTGCATGAACACATTTAATGTACCCCAAGATAAAATCTGGATTTTGGGCACTGAGTGGCAGGAGTTGCGCTGGAGCCCTGCCCATCAGGTGCTCATGCTCAGCTCACAGAAAGGAGTAAACGCACGTAAACCTTGCAGATCCTGCTCTAACCGCCCACACACCCTGTCCCGCTGCAAAAGGGGATTCCACCTGCACAAAGCCTGGCTCTGGCAAGGCGCAGCCCAGTCTTCCCTTTGATGGATTACCAGGACAGTGCCCTTTCCATGCAGAAAACCCCTCCTCACCCTTGTTCTGGTGGCGCCACCTGAATATCGGAACATTATCAGCCTATTAGTGTTGTAAAAACGGTGTGTGCTGAGATGCATTCGAAGCTTGTCATTACAGATTCCCCTTTTTTAGTGTTTTCAACGGCAATAAAGATGACGATAATGGTGGCCGGTGCTTCCTCTCCCTTTGGGAAAATTCAGCCTGTCCCCAGAATTCTACTCCTTGTTGTATTCCCAACAGCTTCCCATGGAAGCTGTCCTTGGCTAGCTGGCCTCAGGCTTTGGGGTTTTTCTGGACAAAACCCAAAGCTCTCAGTACAGAGTAAAAAGTTCCCACTGTAAGAACTTACCCCACACTGCTGGTTTCCAGGACACACAGAAGAGGTAAAAGGGGGAGAATTCATGTGCATTGGGACTCAAATAAGGAACACAGCTCTTCAGGCACCCTCACTGCAAAAGGGGTAGGAAAAAAAAGCCTAATTAATTACAAGCCTTAATACACAGTCCTAATTTTGTAAGCAAATCACAGTCTGGGCATACACGAGACATAAATGTTCTGTTGGGAGATACCAGGTAGGAAATACACTGAATATCAGGAGTCATCTATGGTGTGATACACACTTATTCAGGAATAAAGCCTTTACTTGTGTCAAAATGAAAGTGCGAGAACACTACTACCAGCTAAGACATAAAATAACAAGACTAATTGAACCGATGTTAAAAATGAAATTTGGCTTTCCTGTTCAGGAAAATTTCCAAAAATAATCAAAATGCCAGATAAAAATATTGCTCGTGCAGGTCTCAGCTCACAATGCACACATGAACTGTGCTTCTGGAGTCCTAAAAATCGCCAGTGCCAGGTGTTTGAGGAAGATCTTGATAGTTATTTAAATCTAAGTTATCACAAATAGAAGGGAGCAGCACTTCACGGTTGCCAAAATATCACAGCAGCACAGCAAGATGATAACGTGGCTTTCAAACATTTTATTGGAAATAAATATTTACTTATTTAGAAGTGCAGTTCTTTGATCCATGTCTGCACAACTTTGTTTCATTTCTAGATTTTATTGTGACATAAGGTGGTCATTCTGAAACATAATATTAAGGAAGAAATTAAAGTGTAAAGAAGTGCCAGAGAATTCTCCAAACCTTTGGTGACTGTTCCACATCAGACACTGCCCATACTGTGAAATATTCTGGAATTATGAAAGGTAAGTTGATTCCCTCTGAGGCTGCAGAGATACACCATATTTTCCATCTATTGATGCACAGCCAGACAGAATCTCATCTTAGCAACTGGCCATGGGTTTGAAGTGACTCATAAAAGGAGCTACTTCTGATTTCTTAAAGAAAGAGAGAAGAATTTTATCCTGTACCACATTCTTCCTTGATTTCAAGAGTTAAAACTCCCTTGGCTCCACTCTCACAGCTGATCACAGATGATGGTGGATTTCTCTCATCTTTTTCTTCACTGAGGATTCAAAAGCCATTGAACTCGGGGCTACATTTAACAATTGCCACTGGGGTGAGGCTGAAGGACTTCAAACATAGTATCTGTGAATGAAATGTGATATCTTAATTATTGCAGCCCTCCACTATAAACTAGAAATAACCAGTGCAATTCTCTGTTAGTTACCTGATACTCCTCAGTAATTTTAGATCATTAGGAAAGATCCTCTTCCATTCCATCCAACAAGATTCAAGCAAGTAATGCTGGGCACAAAGTCTTACCAAATTATACTATAATAAAAGCAAGAGTCTTTTCTTACCTGGTTGTTTCTGAGAGTGTTAGAGACTTGCTAGCAAGACAGGAGGTACAACAGGGATTCTGAAAGCAAATTCTTGGGGATTGAATTCATTGCTTTGTCACAGTCTACAGGTTTGAATGTTGCTTTAGAGGATGATTTCCTTACAAAGGAGATAGTTGGAGCATTTTGATTTATGGATGTAGCATCATCCATGGATTCAGAGGCTACCAGATTCAGAACTTTAAACTTGGGCTTCTCTTGAGATCTCCTTAGGTGCTTTTATTGCTGTATTTCAGTTACCTTCAAATGCTTTAGAAACACCTATAAACTGAATTAACACCACCAGTTACCATTTTGTCTTTGATATGAGGGATATCTGGGGCAAATTTTAATTTCTTTCTCATTATGCCTGTATGTATATGAGCAAAAGAGAGAGCCCAAGAAGAAAAGCTCAGGAAAAGCCATTTACACGTGGCAGAAGCCCCACCTGTCTTCCTTCCACGGCCCTGAAAGCCCTTCCACAGAGCTTTTCCTATCACCTCACATTTTATCACTGCATCTTTGCCCTGGGGGAACGATCCAGCCAGTGCTGCAAAGGACTTGGAGAGCTGAGACAGAGACCTTGAACTGCACTTTGCATTCCCGAGTCAGTCCTGGCGCAGAACATCGGGCTGATGCGCTGGCGGTGATGATCGTTGCTAAGCGAAGGGAGCTGATCGCTGTCTTTTGTGCTGAAGTTTTCAGGATGTGTGGCCTCGCTGAATGGTCGGGAGGTCAGGAATGCATAGGTCACCCTGGTCAGAGCCAGGCCCCATTGAACGGGCACCTCTTCTGGCAGATGGAAAGGGGAAATTTGCTGTCATGGTCGTAGGCATCTGTAGCAGCAAGGAGTTCAAAGGGAGCACAGGGCTGCACACGGTCCCATCCCGGTCCCACACTTCCCCAACCTCACTTCTAAACATTTACCTCTCTAAAGTCTGCAGCAGAGGGATGTCTTGACTAAATACAACCTCAGCCCTGCCAAATTAGGTTTAACGTAAGGTCAGCCAAGAAATCATGTTGCAAGTGGGTGACACAGAGGAAGGCAGCAAATTCATCTAGTTAGTGAGCTGCTGGCTCTTTGGCTTTACTTGTTTCACCAGATCTCCCACTCCTTTCACACTTCACAGAAGTGTGATTGTGCAGAAGACAGCCACAGAAGATGGCTGAGCCAATCTACAGACCTGCTGGGGCTGTATCCCAACATCTCTGCTCCTATTCTCTGTCACATCACCTGTGCTTATTATAATGCTCATGTTCAGAGAACAGTTCAGTTCAGGAAACTGCTTTTGGTGCATTAGTTTTGTACCAAAGGCAGCCCCCAGAGGGTCAGTAAATGACAGCACTGCAGAGCCATAGGCACAGAAGGGTATAAGGATCAAGACCTCCTCTTACATCGGGGACGAGAGTTTAAACTGTACTTGCACCCTCTTAAAATGCTTGGGGCAGGAACTCTGAGCATGAGAGAGCTGTCTGAGCTCAGAAGGGCTTCCCTTGCTCAGGCTAAGAAATGAGGGCTGACCCACTTCAGGATGTTTCCTTTCCGCTTGTACAGCTCTGGGAAATAGGACAGACGAACATGCACAGGGATCAATAATAGTCAAGTGCTACAGTGAGTCCATTAGGATCAGCCCATCCATCAGGATTTCAAGAGCTCTTTCCATGCCTGGCTGTAGCCTGGGGCTTGGCTGAGAAGGAATGTGGCATCCACCCCAGCTTCTGACTGGCGTGTTCAGGAGAGACAGCTCTTGGCAAAAGTTTCCAAGGCCGGTTCTTCACAGCACTCCTTGTTACTGGGATGCTGCAGTGCTTCAGGATCAGTGTCCTACAGCAAAACATAGGCCAAAAATACAAAAAAACCAGCACAGAACTGTAGTCCTTCTGCCCTTCGTAGCAAACGAAGTACACAGGGGGTTCCTGGAGCACAAGAGGCAAATTTGTTTTGGGGGGAACTGCTGAGTTCAGCACATGAGGACTCCAGCTATGATCTGCTCAATCTCATTAAGATCTTGAAGGCTCACCTATGGGAAACCTATGAATACTTCAGAAAGGAGCCCTGTAGGAAGTCACCATCTGCACAAGTCTCCCAAGGTGATGGATTACTCCAGCATTTCACCTCCCACGATTTTTGCAAGCATCTCCGGTGACTTTGGGTGTGATATTGCAAGACAGAATCAGACAATTCCTTTCCTTCAGGGCTACATTTCCGTGGCAGTTTGGGGGAGTCATTCATTTCACAGGTTTATACGTGTGTGCACACACTTATTTGGGGGCAGGGTGTGACCTACATTGCCTGTCCTGCTGTTTCCAGCTTAATGGGAATAACCACAGTCTTTTTCTCTCACAAACTGGGATCTTTTGCATGGGCAGTGGTTGTAAAGAATACAGGTAATGAAGAATCTGTTCTACTACTGGGTGAGTTATTTCATTGATCTTCACTATTAAAGAGGTGCAATACTGGATGAGCATTTCTCACTTCAAGACTTAGGTCTGATCAACTCCAAAGTAATGGGCAGATGGGGAAATATCACAGAGAACGGGGCTTTTTGGTTTGTTTTAGAGGGAAATGATGCCAGAAATAGAATCTATAACACTGTAGCTGTAATAAGCTTCACAGTTGAAAAAAAAAAAATTAAACCTAAGCACACACATTTTTAATGCTAACTATTAGGGCAAGCAAAATAATTGCACCAGTGTTACCAAAACTTCTACAAATTACATGTGACCAGTTTTCTTCTTGCTCAGCATGCTGAAACACAGCAGGACAACAGCAGGAAAGAAAGGCAGGCACACATGTGCTGTCTTCTAGAAGACTGTTCCCAGGGAAATCCACGGAGTTAGTGATTCCTGCAAAGTCAGAGTTCAGAATAAAGTAGGAAGACTGTGCTCATCGGAACAACAATCTGTATTTGTGCAAATTATAAGATGGGGCTGTGGGGGTGGAAGATAAATAGGTTAATCTGTTGTAAACTGATTTTGACCCTGAAGGTGATCACAGGTACACAGCATTACGGCACTTTAAACTGTTTTATGCAAAGCTCAAAAAAGACCCAGCAACAAACAAAGCTTTTTTTGTGTTTGCTAAACAAAGCATGAAAGAACAGTGACAAAAGTAGGAGGAGCCGAGTTTGTCCGGACAAAGCCGGGAGGAGGAGCCCTCATGCAATGGAAATGCAGTTCAGTGGTCCCGGATTGATATGCTCATCCTTTAAACCCCCAGGGCTGGGAGATCACAGGGCCTGAAAGTCCATCAAAGAGCACTTCTCTGCATTGATCCAGTCTGGAGCGGAAGGCTGGTGGGGGTCTGCTGCTCCGTATAAGACTGCCTCCGAAGATAATCAGCTTTTCTTCTTGGAAATTGGGGAATCCCAAACATCAATAAAGTGTTGTTTCAAGCAAAACATCGGTCTAAACCTACAGCATGTGTGTGTCTGTTTTGTGGCGTTGTGTTTTTTAAAGAAGGGGGGGAAAAAAAGAAAAAAAAAGAAAAAAAAAAAAGGAAAAACCCGAATATGTAGGAGGGTAAATATTTTACCTCGAAAGCATACTCTTAATGCATGAGCTGTTCTTTCCAACTTGTCCACAGCAGAATCTCCAGCAGGGGTCTTTAAAGCAGGCTGACAAACTTTCCCGGATATCTGGATGCTCAAGGAGCACAGCAGCACCTGACCTAAAAAGACAATTAAAAAAAAAAAAAAAAGTTTAAAATTCACGATGTTTTTGACTCTCACAGACACTCGTTAGGTTCCCACGAGCTGCAGGCAGTTACAGTTCATTGCAGCTGCTTAGTTTCAAGCACTTTCGGTCTGACAGAAGGGAAACTGGAAGCCTGGGGAACATTTAGCCCTGACAACGCCGTGACAGCCTCCCGGCCGCGTTATCTTCAGCCTCCAGGTGATCAGCCGGGGCTGGGGAACCCCTGAGCCACCTCTCACAGCTCAGCGTTCGGTTGGCTCAAATTATAGATAGAAAGGGCTGAACACGCATAAAACAGGGGTGGGAGGGAAATCGGGCAATCCAGCACTCTGTGGTGTAACCAGAGACTGAAAGTCATTAATCAACCATTCGTTTGAGGCTGGAAACTGTTAGGATATTTTATTTATTCAAGGGGAGCTGTGTTGAGCAAACAGAGGATGATACAAGCTTTTCCATCACAGCATGGGCAATGTGACTCGATAAAACTTCGGAATATTTTAATATCATTAAACAGCTGCATTTGGCTAAAAGAAATCAAGCGGTTGAACAAATCCCTGTACCCTGGAGATCCTGATAATTACAAAACAATCTATAATGTCCTGTTTGAAGCTATTTCAGGTGATCACAACTGTTGCAGAGAATTGGATTAAAATTCCCTCTGAGCATTACCTTTCTGTGAGTATAACAGGGAGGAGAAAGAGCAGCAACTCAGTTGCTTGTGAATAGACCATTCCATGATTTTTGAAATAAGAAAGGGTTGCAAAGGACGTGATTTCTTCCAAAACACTCAGCCCTGGTGTAGGGGTGGTGTTACTGGGATTAACAGGCCACCAATCTCAGGGCTTTGGAAATCAGACACACACAGAGTACATTGCTGAGCACTTTTCAACCAAATTCTGTGTGAGATGACAAATCCCTGGTGTGTTAGAGTTCAAAAAAACCAATAGTATAGATCAGACCTCTCTCTTGCCCTCAAAATACAGTTGTTGACCATTTCCCTTTCACTTTCCTCCCCTCCTGTCCCCCCAAAAAATCACACTACTGAGAATTAGAGAAGTAAGAGTTTCTCTTTCTGTCATATACACACAGCCTAGTTCTTAAATGCTTTTTAAGAATATTTTTTGTTGAAGATACCTTATTTTACACAGGTAGAGAGTTGACTAGCCAACATTATAAATTATTTTTATTACCTCAGTATCTACAGCCAGAAAGTTTACAGATCTAATCAGTATGAATAGGAAAAAATAGCTTCTGCCTCAAGAGGTTGGCAATCTGTGATTTCTGTTACAAAGAGAGTTTTAAAAGTAGAATTTGGCCATTTAATTCATACTGATTTCTGCAGTGCAGACACAGTCCCTTATGTAGCAGTGGCAAACTAAACTGGGAAATTTAAAAGAAAAATTAATTTTTGAAAATCATTCTTGTTCTGGTATAATCACATCCACGTAGCTGACAATGTGATACAAAATCGCTCTGCAGGCAAGGATATGGAAAAGATGGAAAAGGTTGCTGCTCCTCTGTCTGCCCCCGAGCATCTCTGCAGCACCATCTGCCAAAGGTCATCACCCCCTGAGCCCTCACAGCACCACTCACGTTTGCTCCAGTCAGAACAAGCCAGGTTCACTTGGACAGTTCAGCAGTCCCAGGTTTGCTCAACCTAAAGCCTCACTGGTGAATGAGAGCAGTGGGAACCTCTGGAAAGTTATAAAAGCCTGGGAGCAGCTCGTGCCAGCACAGCTGAACGGAGAGAGAGACTCACTGAACCCCGGGGAAACCAGAGAGATGGGTGGGGAGGGCTCCCTAAAGCACCAACACATCCCTACAGAGCCAGGGAGGCTGGGTGGATGGAAAACCAAGCCATGAACGAGGAAGGCAAACATCAGCCATTCCTGGAGTTTCCCTCTCAGACCGTTTTCTTCCAGCAAGTTTAGAGCCATGGGCTCAGGACAGGGAACCACGGGGATGGTTCTCCAGCTTGGCACGGGGAGGGCATTGCACACCCAAGGACCTGTGAGAAAGACAATGGCAGAGCACCGGGATAAACTGAGCTTACAGAGGGTGAGAGAAGGTGGGGCATCAACTGCTTACAGGGGAGGATCTGGAAAGGAGTCTGATGAAAGTCATTAGAACAGTGGTTTACATCGAGAATTTTGGGTTCCTGATAATCGGTGCAGAAAATCAAAGCAAGACATATTGCAGGGTGAAGGCACTAACAGAAACTACTCCCCAAAAGTTTTAAATGAAAAGAAATGCTGAAGGAAATGAAAAAAAACCTCAAGGATTAATGCAAAGGATGTACAATGTCCAACACAGCGAGCTCAGTTCTGAAATGAACTCAGTGTGAATTAGTGTGCATATATGCAGAAGTACTTAAAGGTGTCAGGAGGCAGCAATAAAGAGAGATATTTGATAGTCCCCCACAGAAGGAAATTTTCTTGATGGGAAAAACCAAATCAAGACACTTGCAGCCATAATAGGAACATGAAAAATGGTCACAACTGGCACAGTTGCTTCAGCTTTCATTAGACAATTATCATGGCTGAGGATTTATTTGGAGCAGCAGACAGCATGGCAGGCAGCAGGCGATCCTTTTGTTTAGCACAGCACTGGAGTTTGGGTTCCTGCAGCAAGAGAGCAGATTTCCCTTCTTGTCTAGGGCTGCAAAGGGAACCGGCTGCATCTGTAATCAGAGAAAACCCCTCAGTACAGGTGATGCCTCCCAGGAGCATTTTTGGCTCATTAGGTCCTGCACCGTTCTCACCGTTTGCAGAACAAAACAAGTGCTTGCTTGTGTTTATCACTTCTGACAAAGAATTCTGTTAAACTCTCACTGCTCCTTACAGCAAAGCTCTGAAAAGAGGAGCAGGAACCAAATTGTTCATAGTCTTGGGAGGTTTTCTTCAACAATTTTCCAATTTGCTGATTCACTGTGGTATCAAGTGGGGGCTGGATGCTTTGGTTCCCATCTGTAAAGCTCACAGCCTTACAAAGCAGGCCTAGCAGGCTCAGACTTCAGCACTATTGACTGCCCTGGGCTTTCCATCGGGCTGCTGTCATCAATCTCCACATTTTCTCTGAGGGGGCACTGCCCAGCTGTGGGCAGCACAACAAGGGAGAGGTGAAGATATCAAGAATTATAAGACAGTGGCTACGGGGAAGAGGAAACCGAAGGGATACAAACACTGTCCCGTTTAAGTGCGAGTAAAAGCGAAAGTACCAAATATTTTTCTAAATAAAAAGTTTTTAAGTAGGCAAATCAAAACTGCCATGCCCACAGCTGGACAGAAATGGGTGTGCTGCTAGTCTTTTAATGACACTAGAATATTAAGTTCTGACTGAGAGCAGCCCCAAATTTGCAGGTTTACCCCTTGGCTGAACATGCATCCAGCATCCCATCTCCTTTGCAGCACTTTAGGTATTCATGAAGCCCGCAGTGTGAAGTACTTTTCATTTTTGCTGTGCTTGGTAAATTAGCCAGCAAAGGCAGGGAGTAGACAATAACAGTAGATTCCAGTTGGATGACTGGGTTTGATTTGCTGCATCTTCCAGTGTTTTGATCATTTGGGCCGAGGGTGGGTCGCACACAGTTTGGGGGCTGGCAAAGCGGGGTTTAATAAGTCTCCTGTAAAACCCAGCGTGTCTGCAAACAGCCCCCAGGATTAGGCTCCGCTCGCTTAGTTTGGGCCTTGGTGCAGCCAACCCGAATAATCAAAGGGAGGAACAAAAGTTGTGAATCCCCTCGGTGCACTGCTTCATTAGGATCTCCTTACAAAAAAGGAAAATGGGGCTCGTCTGATCAGCCAGATTTTATGGCATCTGATTAGACCACCATTTTCTCAGCAGGTCCCCTTTCTTTAAACTGTTGACTATGGATGGCCTGCTGAATAGGATGAACTTTGGACCGCTAAATTGCAGCATTATGGTTATTTAGTGTAATTTATGAAAAAGAGAGAAGTCATGATCACCTACTTCATATTGCTAATGATATCTCCATTTATCAGAACAGCTATGAGTTTGGATCCTCATTTTTGCCTCACAGTCACAGAACACTGTCCAATTAGATACCAAAAAATTATTTCTTCGAGTGGGGCTACATGAATACTAAATTAGGATTTAATAGTCCTTACATAATCATTTATTACTGTTGACTGTTTGCTGCCTTTCATTAAGTCCCACATCACCTCAACGTGTTTACTTCAAAGTTTCCTATTCATTCTGTATTTTCTATTTGCATTTTACCATGACTAATCTAAGAAGAAAGATAAAGGGAAAAAAATCTGAGCTTGATTTTTCTGTTCTGCAATGTTTCATCTAAACAGCAATTAAACCCATAACAAATTAGAAAGATGCTACGAGAACTAAATTACAGTGATTTCAGCGTGAAAGTGCCCTTACCCTGGATGAAAAGAGGGAGATTTCCAATTACAGAAATTATCACTTTGTCTTTTTTTTCCCCCCAACAAATAAGACTGCCAAACACTTTCCATAGAGGCAAATTTCTAAATTGCTGATTATTACAGGTAATGATCTATTCACTGTGTCAGCTTCCTAGCCTTCCTTAGAAGCTGGAGTTATGCAAGTTAACAATGAGCTATCAGGGAGGGGAGGAACAACGGCAGTAGGTGATGCTACCAGGCATCAATCCACCCGGGGCATTAGGCTGCAAGAAGCTTGGGCAGACTTAGCACACTGCCCTGGGCAGAGCAGAGGGGATCACAGGCTCCAGCAGAACATCCTGGGCAAGGAGTGTGAGATTCCTGTCACAGCTCAGCCCGGAGCCGGATTCGGAATCCAGCCTCAGGAAACACATTTTTTCTTGCCACTGGTTAATAAATGGCCATGGTGGTGTTGTTCTGGAATGTCTAGGAAGCAAATGCCCAATAACTATTTCAGCACTACTTCCGGGGTGACAGTGCAAACGCTCCTGGTTTGAATCCACTTTGGAGCAGTGAATCTCCTTTGTCAGCTTCCTTCTGCAGTCGAGCCTCCACATGGTTTAAGTGGTGCCTTCTCTGCAGATTTTTCTGCTGTCAAAACCTCACTAAGCAAAGTTTTTACACAGATACTCTCCAAGAGTCAGCAGCTTTCTCCACAGCCCTCAGCAGGAGCTATTTGCTCTCCAGAATATTTTGGTAGCGTGCTGACTATCTCTGCCAGAGAACAGCAGGATTTTCCTGCGGGTCAGAGTCCATCCTGGCTGCCACAGAGACCTTGAAATCAGTGTAGGCTGATAAATGCTCTGAATCTTTGGAATTCGATTGTTAGAATCAAACAGTAGCAGATCCTGTGAAGCACCTCTGGAGCACACTCAGGTTGGGTGCAGAGGAAAGGAGCAACAAGTGAGGCAATGTCTGTCAACCCTGCACCACAACACAGCCCCTCAGAGGCACTGCATTACACTGGACTGAGACCTGGAACAACTGAGAACTTCCATTTCCCATGCCAGTTTCTATTTTTCAGTCTTCAAGGGAAAGCCTGCTGCAGCAATATTCCCAGGGAAAGACTTTTTTCTTCTTACATTTTGGGCCCATGAAGCCATTAGTTGTCAACCAGCTTTTCAAGTTATCAGCACAAAATAGTCGTGTTCTTTGTACCCAGGAGAGGTCCTAATTCACCCTCCTTCTTTCTCTGCACATGTTGTTCAGGCAGATTCTCCAGATAAACGCTGGGAAGCTCTGCACAGGGTAACACTGCATGATGACAAGTCTCCAGTGTTACTCCCTGTAACAGATACATCATTTATCCACGGTCAACAAATGCCTGTCTTGTACAAAATGGCTGTTGGTTACCAGAGTCAACCAGGGGTTTTCTCGAGCACCAAATGCAGCTTTCTAACTGGCTCTGATGCCTCCCATTTGCAGCGTGCTCAGCAATAACAAGTAGAAGGGAGGAAGGCAGAAAAAAGCCACTAGTTCAGCTGTCAGTGTATATGAGAGTCCACAGGTGTCACCAAGGGTGAAGACACAGTGGCAGCCATTTGACTGCGTTGCCTCCATGGAAAAACAATTTACAGCAGAGGCAGAATTTGCTAAATTGTGCCAGTCCCTCACCAGAATTCATCAGCTCCCGGGATGTGGTGTCTGTGAACAAAAGATCCCCCGGGTAGGTAAGTAGACAGAAATCAAGAACAACCCTTGGGCAAGATGAGCAGGCAGCACACACAGACCTTCACACCTCCTGCACATGACAGGAGATAGGGCTCTGCCAAACCTCCCCAAGCCTCCTGTCATGACAATATTTGTGTATTGGTTCTTAAAGACCAGCATTGCTCTGGCTACAGAGCGGAGAAAATTTTCTAAAAGCCTTCTGTTGAACCTTCTATTGGTTTTTGTGGAAGAAATCTTCCATCTCGGTAATTACCTTTTGGGGTTTCACTGGTAGAGCGCTCAGCAAGCTGAGCAGCCCCTCTGAAGGAGCTCAGCAGGAGAAAGATGGTAGTGGGGGTGATGTACCTTACAAGGCTGAGGTTGAAAAGCAAGCAAGGTCTACAGGCAGTTCATTCTCTGGGTGTGCTGGGTTCGGCTGGAGGAGAGTTAATTTTCTTCATAGCAGCTGTTACGGGGCTGGGTTTTGACTTCGTGCTGAAAAACACAAACACCAGGATGTTTTAGTTATCACTGAGCAGGGCTTACCCAAAGCCAAGCCCTTTTCTGCTCTTCACCCCACCCCACCAGCGAGGGGGCTGTGGGGGCACAAGGAGCTGGGAGGGGACACAGCCAGGACAGCTGACCCCAACTGACCCAAGGGATATCCCAGACATACAGGAGCATGTTCAGCACACAGAGCTGGGGGAGAGGGAACAGGGGGCATTTGGAGTGGTGGTGTTTGTCTTCCCAAGTCACCATTACAGGTGATGGAGCCCCGCCCTCCTGGGACACCGGCCTGCCCATGGGAAGCAGTGGGTGAATTCCTGGGTTTGCTTTGCTTGCACTCACAGCTTTTGTTTTACTTATTAAACTGTCTTTATCTCGACCCATGAGCTCTTTCACTGTCATTCTTCTGATTCTCTCCCCCCTCCCACCCAGGGACAGCGAGCGAGCAGCTGCCAGGGGCTGAGTTGCCAGCCAGTGTTAAACCACAACACTGGGAAGGAGTTTTTCAGGAACCAGGCTAAATCATAGAATTATAGAATCAGCTGGGTTGGAAAGGACCTCCAAGATCATCAAGTCCAACCCCTGACCCACTACCGCTTGGTTACTAGACCGTGGCACTGATGCCACATCCAGTCTCATCTTAAAAACCTCCAGGGATGGAGAATCCACCACTTCCCTGGGCAGCCCATTCCAATGGCTGAGCACCCTCTCTGCAAAGAAATTCTTTCTAGTGTCTAACCTAAACCTCCCCTTGCACAGCTTCAGACCCAGCCCTCTTGTCTTGCTGATAGCTGCCTGGGAGAAGAGACCAACCCCCACCTGGCTCCCCCCTCCTGTCAGGGAGTTGCAGAGAGTGAGGAGGTCTCACCTGAGCCTCCTCTTCTCCAGGCTGAGCCCCCCCAGCTCCCTCAGCCTCTCCTCATAGGAGAATAAAAGCATGATTGTTCTTGGATAACTTCTATTGCTCTAGGAATCATAACAGTATCACCAGACAAACCTTGGAGACAGAAACATAAACAGCAACTTTCATCCAGTTCTCACCTCTGCACATACCCTGACTATTTCCCACACAACACAAAGGAGGGGTTCAAGGACTTAGAAAAGATCCTGGGCCCTGAAATAGATTTTGAGTTGTATCATTTATAAGGTATTGGGAATACGTGATTGTCATTTAAAAAGCAGGTTTCCAAAATGGCTCAGATACGTTTCAGTAAGACTTCTTTTCTCCCCCGTGGAAAAATGTAATGTGTATTCTAACAATTATTACACCTTTATTCTGTGCATCAACTGTGTTTCTAAATGTCTGAACTGACAGCATGTCTGGTCATATGAGTCCAGTTGACAAATCTGGCTAACGGTAACGCTTTAGGACAAAATTATGAAAAAAATGACAAATTAGCAATGGCACCTAATCAATAAATGACACAATATGGAACCCATGAAGCTGATAATGCAACCTCACAATTCTCTCATTTCATAAAATAAATTACTAGAGCTTAACATGTGCTCGATGATGTCTCATTTCCAGTTGGTTTTCCCCCAACCAATAATAAATTTATCTGTAATTATATAGATTATAGTTCTAAAATGAACAGCAACACACAAATTTCAGAACCTGGCTACCGTTAACCCTAAACTGGCCATGAATAACTGGCCTACTCAGGGCTGCTGCCTCAAGACACCCTTTGATGCAATCTAGTGTGCTTCAGAAAAAGTTCCTGGCTAGAATATTATCACTCCAGTGAGAAAACCCACAAAACAGAGTGACAAATCAGTTTGTCTTTGCTAGAGGAACTTCACAACTTCCCCATTTCATCCAGAAAGCACTGTCACTCTGGGAAGAACTCTTCAAGATTTAACTGCCTTTCAAATAAATTTTCTGTCATTGCAGCCAAAGGTTATGTTAAAGTACCTTCTAATAATACTGCGAGGTCTGAAATTACTTACCTTTATTCTTACAACTAGCTTTTGGTGACTTATCTAACCTCTGCAGGCTGACATTTCCCATGATGTGGTTTGCACAAAAAAAAAAATAAAATAAAAAAAGTCTTCAAAGAATGCTGAAGCAAATCTGCTTTATGATTTTGAAATTATCAGAAAGCAAGCTGAGTTAATCACAGCAGGAAAATTACATCCAGGCATCCCCCTTCTGCTCTTTTCTGATCATTCAGAGCAAATCTAGATATAAGGAGCTCAAATGGGCCATGGACATCACACACTGAGGGAAATGTTCTTTGTCAATGTGCTTGTCTGGGGAGGTGCTGAAGGAACTCTGGTGGGTTGGCAGCAGCTGAAGGGCTCTAACATAAATTCCTTAGACTTTTTTTAAAGAAAGCAGTTTGCAAAAAAAAAAAAAAAAAAAAAAATCAAACAGCACAGTGAAAACATCCAGCAACCAGCAGGAATTGGCTGCACTGCTCTGTGCAGATCAGTTCAAAGGCAGGGATGGAATAAATCACATCTGCACCCAACCTTTTTCCACAGGACATGCTGGCATGGTCAGAGGGACAGATCAGACATTTTAAAGCTGCAAAGGGCCAGGTTGGACAGGGCTCTGAGCAACTTGGTCTAGTGGGAGGTGTTGGAACTAGATGGTCTTTAATGCCTCTTCTAACCCAAACCATTCCATGATTCTGTGAAAAATGGAACTGTTAGGAACTCATGCAGCTAATATAATTCATTATTTCTGAGAAATGAGAGGAAGTTGTCTCTGACACAGAACCTCCCAAGCCTTCCTGAAAGCAAACAGCCTCCTCTAAAGGAGGAGGATCTTCAGAAGAAGGATGAAGAAACAAAATGTTCAGCTCACCCAGTAATTCAGAGCTGCCCATCACCCTATTTTCTTGTGACTCTGTGGGAGAATCAGCACAGACTTTTGCATGAAAGTGCAGTCAGTTGAATGAAAACAACAAGAGCAGAGTCCTATATTGCCAACATATAATAATGTTGGTTTTGGTGAGCAATTTAAAACTTTGCTGTTTTGAATAGAGCAGCAATTAATACAAGTCTTTATTTTTCAATGTTTTTTGACAGGGGGAGAAGAAACCTTTTATTTGAGGGAAAGAGAAAAGCTTATATTACCATGGGAAAAGGAAAAACTTGAGAAAACAAGTAAATAGAAGTTATTTCTTTAAAAGATATTTAAACCCTATGAGACTTTGAAAACAGAGCAGTCTGCTAAAAAATAATGCTTTAGCATCCTGATGAAGTAAAATAATGATGTTAAGGACTATGCTTAACCCCAATACTGAAAAGCCTTATGTTTATATCTTCCTTTACTGTTAAGTGTATCCACATTCCAAAGCAACAGAAAAAGGCACAGACAATAAACTGCTGAATAAAAGATTCTCCTCTGCTTATCTGGAAAAACTGGTCAGACACACACATTGATATATTTTTAACCAAATCCCCATAACACAGTTATAATTATTAAGGTGCCCTTGAAGCAGAAAGGATCACAGCCTCCTCAGCCACACCTACAGACAGGCTTTCATTGCTTTAAACCCGTGCTGCACTAAAACAGTTCATGCCACGTTCCTTGCTCACAACCACTCTCCTCGTGCACTGGTAACTTGCAAGAGTCAATCCAGCTGAAAAAAAAAAAATCATTCTGGAAGAAAAATATTACTTTATAGGAGCATCAGCTCCTTGATCCAGGTGTCCACGAGAACTTTAGCCCTGGTGCATAACAGAAGGCAGCACCTTTGGCTGCAGCTCTGACTTAGCATGAAATGTTACCCCAAGGTCTCCAGGCACTACTGCTGAGCACTGCCATGGCATGAACGTTAAGCCTATAAAATAGCATATATAATTAACAAAATGCCAGCTTGAGGGTGTTTGGCAGGAAGAGATCATTCCTTCATGCTTGGGCTCATAACGCCCAACATGTGCAATGATCTCCAAGCTAAGTAGCCATGGCGTATATTGGGTCAATTTACACACATCTCTGCACAAGACCTAAAAAAAAATAATAAATCAGACTTCTTTCAATTTTACTGTCACCTGCGGGAGGAAAAACAAAAAAAAGAAGGAACAATTAAGTGCCTTTCATTTGCAAAAATGCCAATTCGGTATGTGCATCCCAACTCAGAGGAAAATCTTTGTCCCTGGCAGAGTTATGTAAAAACTGTGCCCAAAGTCACCATGAAAAATGAGGTGCTACAAATACCACAGTGTATACTCTGTGGGGTGGTTCCATCTTTCCCAAATGCTCCTCTTCCAGCAATCCCAGTTGTTCCTCTCCAAAGTTATATGTTTGTGCTTGCATGACAGGGAGAGGAGAGATTTTAAGCGTGATTACAGGTCCTTGGAAAATCTAACCTCTCAAAGAAGTTACTTTCCAGCCCTCTGGAGAAGGCTCTCCAGCCCGGCACGCAGAATGATGGGAGTGCAGAATATACCCCTAATCTATATTCATTACAGAGAAATGTGTCTTATCACCTCCTGTCACCTTAACGAAGGGTTAATTTTAAAATCTAATCGGGAGCGAAAAGTCCTGATAAGACTGAGTGATGTGACCCGCACAGAGAGAAAATACCTGCTAAAGGTGATGGGCTAAATCCTCACCTCTTGATCGCGCTCAACGACTTACAGCTCTGCTCAAGCAGTGCCTGTCACCTGCACAGTGTTTTCAGCGTATGAACACTTTACAGAGGGCAGCATTGCTACAGAATGCCAAAGAAAGACCAAGAAATTAAGGCATAAATTGGGGGAGCAGGAGAGGGAAGCCAAATGTTACTTGCATCAGATGTGATGACCGGTTCTCTAGAAACAGATAAAAGGACTTGTAATTACCCTCCCGGGAAACATCCTAAACATGTTGCTGGATTTCAGTCAGGACAACCACACTGAGCAAAAAATCGACCCCACGTTTTTCCAGGTTAAAATTTTCAGTTAATCTTTAAAAAAAAAAAAAAAGCAGCTCTTTTCCGCTTTTAATATTATTTGCAGACACTGAGTCCTTTGCTCACCTAACTGG